GCATAGCATAGCATAGCATAGCATGCCAAGTATTCTTTAGGCTTCCTAATGTAGTTCCAGTCAAACCCGGCGAAAGTATCGCTATGCAGGTTTTGTCTTGCAGTTTTCGTTTTTGCATGCCGGGGTTGCCAGGTCTGCGATCTGTCAGTGCGCCGTGGACAGAGAGAAGTTGCCACACCCAGGGCACAAACGGACTCCCCAACTCTAATCCTCAACCCCTGAATATCCCGGAACCCTGAAACCCTCAACCCATGAGCGGAGACCGAGATTTCCGTTCCTAAGCTTCCTTGAGGCACGTCGCCTGGCACCCCGCTTCTTGCAACTGCTGGAAGACAGATGGGAGAGGCACTCGTATTTCGGTGCATCATAAGGATTTCTAGCAGGGTTAGTATGGGCTGCCATATGGTTTGCTAGTTACTAGAAGGCTTTGAACAGTTTGGGAGTTCAGGGGTCCGGGGTTTCTAATTGGGTTTAGGTCGTCGGGGTATTGGGATTTAGGAGGCATCTAGTCCGAAGTCGTCCTAACCCCACGCCATCAGTTTGGGCTGGAATGAGGCTAGTCGGGTTTACTATTGGTATTTCGTATTCTCATCGTCATCTTTATGTTACTGCAGTATTGATGGGCACTGACCATATTGAGTGTCGCGAGTGTCATTACTCGCGATGAGTAACTTTTTTTCCTAGTGTTATTGCTGCCGCGCAGGCAGCATTTCGCACTTTCCGCTCTGGGCGATCTTGGTCTGCGTTGGGTTCAGGCCAGCCAGCAGGGGTTTCAGGGGTTAAAGTTTAGGGTGTTGGATTATTGGCTTTCGTTTCGAGCGGCGCGGACCGTTACGAAGCCAGCTCGGCAGCTTACTGTTTGTGCCAGCCGGGCGAAGCAGGCAAGCTATCTATTTCAGAAGGGGCTGTTGCTGTCTACCTCAGAGGCCCAACTTGGGTTTCCAGTATAATGCATCGGGGCACTTTAAGGATTACCGGACTGCTGCTACTTCTGCTAAGTGCTCAAGCCCGTATTGTAATTGGCGTGCTGGCTGCATGGTTTATGACAGCGCTCCGGCATGGCCTCTGCAGCCACAGACATTGCACGGGATATCCCTGCAAGTGGTGTGTATTGAGACGCCCTGGAGGTGGAACTGCTGTGGTGCCGTGTGGCCCGAGGGGCTCTCGCCTCTGGAGCAATGCGGGGTGTTTTTCGAAAGCTTGCTCGAGCAGGGTTATGGGGGGCAGGTGGCTGCCGGGGAATGCCGAAGAGCGGAGGGGTTTCAGCCCAAGGCCAAACAAAGTTCCCGAATGGTCGAGGCCCCTTCGTGGTCCGAGGGATCCGAGGGGATCTTCGATCTGCTGCTCCAACCGGGACCCGATCTTCATAAAGCTTGCCAGGTGCTCTTTTCAGACCAGTGGCGCTCCGGGCCCCTTGAAGTCTTGCTGCTGTATCAGGAGGGCCTCTTTGAGTGGCTCCCGGCTTTCCGCTGGCTGCTGGCAGAAGTCCTGCCAGCCATGTCAGCTCCCCTTCATATACGTCAGCTCAAGGTCAGCAACACTACGATACCGGAGAAACTGCCGGTGTTTGCAGCAGCTTTGGTCGTCGTCGTGGCATACCACAAGGTACACCACTTTGACTTCAGTGCATACGCCAGGTATGCCCGAAGCCAAGGCACCGAGATGTTGGGGCTTCTCCACTTGGGCCATGAGGTGCAATGGGAGACGGAAGGTGAGATAGAGGACTTGGGATCATGGGGAACGATCCGAGCGGATGGGGCAAGAGTTCGACAGAAACGAGATCTTCTCCATTACTTTGAGGATTACCAGCAGTTTGATTTCGTGCTGAGGAATCACTTCTCACCAGCCTATTCTGAGCGAAGCTTGTACCTTCCATTCGGACCTGGCTGGGGCTGGATGATGAATGGAAAGCGGTGGCTACCCAAGGCCTCACTGCGGGGCAACTTCTGCCTGGCTGCCTTGTGGAGGCCTTTGGACTTCGAGTATCACTGGGACCGTGGCAAACTGTTGGAGTTGCTGTCTTCGGAGGGGCAGGAGAGTCTCTGCCATAGGACAGGGCAATGGGTGACGAACTATGAGGAGCAACTCATGGAGTCTTCGGTATCCCTGTGTCCATTTGGGAGCTCGCCTGAGACCAACCGGCTCTGGGAATCTTTGCTTGCAGGCACTGTGGTTGTCATGACCCGAGCCACCTTCGTCACGGCGAACCTGCAAGCGCCCTTGATCCAGTTAAATAGCTGGCAGGAGCTCCCCGCGCTGCTGCAGACGCTGCGCAGTAGTCCTGGTCTGTTGGATCAACACCAGCAGCAGCAAAGTGAGTGGTTCAACGTTTACATGCGGTCGATCCGTCAGAAGCTGAAGGCCCTGGGCCAGAAAACGGTGCTGCCGAGCCTCAGATCCCAAAGTGGCGCCTCTGAAGACCACGCCGCAACTGTACTGCTCCCCCGGGACGGGGGCCTTGGGGCAGTGCAGCTAACGGAACAGGAAGCGGAGGTGATCGCGCAGCGTCGCTCCCGCTCTCTTGGCGAGACCAGCCACATGAGCTCCCTTCTGGCATCGCTCGGTCCGGTTTAGGGCCGGGTGCAGAGGTCTACATAAAACGCAGGGCCCTGCTGACATATTTTGGAAGACTGACAGACTACTAATACCATTCCTTAGCGCTCCTTTTTAAGTGTTTAGTACAACATACCCCCAAGCGCTATTCAGAGCCCCTGCATTACTCTTTCGTTGCAGGCCCCATCCACTCCAATTGCGTGCTCCCACGGCCGATGCGAGTTGTTCAACCCGAACACGAGAGTACCCCGCCTACAGTTTCATACAAGTACATATTAGTACATATGTCCGTTTATTGTTTGTTCGTCTGCTTGTTTGCTTGTTTGCTATTTTTTTGTTTTGTTTGCTTTGCTTGTCTATTTCCCTTTTGTTACACAGAAGCAAATAAGTAGATGACTGAATAGATCGATAGGTGGAAAGCAAATTGAACAAGTGCACACGTACACACACACACACATATATATATATATATATATATATGCACATGTATATGTGTATATATTTGTTCATATCTATGCGCACATACATACTACATACATGCGTATACACATACATACGTATATACATATACATCGATGCATCTATACACACACACACAGCAAGTATGTGACTCCAGATGCCGCATTGAATTTCCTTGTACTCCGCCCATCAGAATCTTCTCCTTCTGCACTGCTCCAACCAGGCAGAGTTCGTTGAAGCCCAGGCGGCGATCAAATTCGCTCTCAAGGTGACCGCGGCTAGCAGAGTCGCGCGTTGGAGTTGGCTGTAATTGTTTCGGGTGCAAATAAGCGGAGTGCCTTCAGCACAGGTGATGCGCAAGAATGCACAGCAAGAGCTACGGGCCCAGCATGACGAATTTCTGCGTGGTTTCAGTCAGTTTCGGTGTAGCTTCGATGTGAAGGGTTGCTTAGAGGTGGTAGCATCTGCTTTGTTGGGTGGCTTAGGGTGGGAACCTGATTTAGAAAACCCTGGTCCTAAACTCGCAAAATATTAGGATCCATGTAAAGAGCTCAGTAAGGACCCGAGGTTTCTTAATCAGGTTGCTACCTTATTATTGTTCTTGTTGTTACCATTACGATTTTGATGATTATTGTCATTCTGGTCAGTGGTACTCTTAATTAGGTTCCTAGATTGTATAGTCGGTCAGTCAGAAGCCCAAGGACCGGTCCCTCAAGCCGGAGAGTTTCGCTTTGGACTGGCTCTGCATGCATTGCTGTATGTATATATATATATATATATACACATACATATGTATGTGCATCGGACAAGATGTACATATGTATACTATATACATATATGTGTGTGTATACATACATACATACATACATACATACATACATACATACATATATATATATATATATGTAGAGTAGTATATAGAGTAAAGTACATGTATATACACGCACATACATAATCATGTATTTCACGATTTCACTTGTTCTTTCTTCTGGCCTCGCGGCCCAGTACCAGGTCTTCCGACGACGGAGTGCCAAAGAGCGCTCAGATCAGAGAGGAGCTGTGATGAAGTGAGCCTCAACTCGCGAGCCCAACCATGCTTGACACTAGAGTTTAGGGTTTCGGGTTCGGTTCCGTGTTTAGGGTTTCGGGTATACATTGAAGCGTTATACTACATGTTGTGAGATTTCTGGGGTTCTATTATCACATGAACTGTAGGGCAGAGGCCGCGACGATGTTTGGGGAGCGTCTACATCCCGAGTTCATACCCCCAAACCCGAAACCTTAGCCCGTAAACCCCACACCACTAAACCCTCAACCCTAAACCCAAAGCCCCTAAAGCCCTGAACCCTAAACCGCTTGGACCTAGCTCCTATGCACCATGAGCCGTATACCCTATGTGAACCCTGAAGACGTAAAGCCTGGAACCCTAAGCCCTAAAGTTTAGGATTTAGGGTTTAGGGTTTAGGGCCTGCCCCAACCTACAAATCCTAGCTCCAGGAGCGTGCCCAGTTCCTGGCGCGCGTCTCGCACGCAGCCCGACTGGGCTTTGCACGGTGCACTGGGCGGGAGCGGGAGGCCCGCAGCTGAGGTTTTTCGGGTCTAAGGTTCAAGGCGGGCGACTGGGGTGTAGTTAGGATGTCTTTAGGGTTTATTCAGGATGTAACTAGGGTTTAGGATTCAGGGTTTTTTTAGGGCCTTAAGGTGTAGGGATTGAGGGCTCTAGGGTGTGGGGTTTAGGGTTCAGGGTTTGGGGCGACTCTAGAACCTGGCCCTCAAGCCTAACCGACGAGTGCGTGGCTCGAGGCTCGAAAGCTTGCGCCTCAAATCCTAAAGCCCGAAGCCCCATAGCTAGCAAAAGGACTGTATACAGCATACACACGGACACATATACATACATACATGCATACCTGCATACATGCGTACATATATACATACATACATACATACATACATACATACATACATACAGACATACAGACAGACATGCATGCGTACATACAAAGTTTCTTCGATACTTACATACTTACTTACTTGCTTGCTTGCTTGCTTACTTAC